AACATTTAATAAGAAAACAACAGGTAACTGTGCTGGAAGTAGATTTGCTTGACACTTGATGAAGACAGATGGAGACAGTTGCCATAGAGTGGCATATGACCCCAGATATCCTGTTGGGGGTCTGGCAGGGACTTCTGGGAAGATGCTGAAGAATGCTTACACTTATCTGTATGCTGGTCCCTTTAAACTCTAATACTCAAGATTGTTTGGAAGGCAGCTAAAATATGTAGCTATGGCGATTCAAAATTTTGTATCATTGTGGCTTTAGTGAAAAAAAACCCATGAACATTTAATTATTTGAGCTATGCTGCTACGCTCTATTTTAATGCTCTTTGTTTTACCAGCAGCAGTGGGTGCTGGTGGAGACAATTAAATATAATTAGCAAAACCTTGTATATAGGCCTTTGTAATGAAACCTTTGTTTCATTGTTATTTTGAAGAGGGATTTTTTTTCCCCAAAAACATTCTAAAGAGTGAATGTGTGCTGTTCTGAGGTCGTTTGTGTATTCAGTAAGGTCTGAGAAGTTCAGTTTCCACCGTGACTGGATGGGGCAAAAGGCAGATTACTTCATTGACTGGCGTAAACCCAGGGCATGCTATTCAAATGATTCAGTTAAACTAATCGCTTTTTTTTTTTGGCGAAGCTATTCAATTCTTTGCAAAAAAGATTGATTGCTTTAAGACAAACATTGTGAAAACCAAGATGAACATTTCTTTAAAACTTTGTCACATTGTCACATGTATGTCACAGATATGGGTATCTGGAGACGCTTTTAGTAAACAAAACGAAGATAATTGTAAAAACATATATTTCCTGTAAAAGAATTATTTCTGTTCTGCAAGGTCATTTTCCTCTGGGCTGTTTTACAGTAGTAGTTGCTTTGAAAATAGAAAATAGATTTCCTTGAAATACTAATTTCTGGGTTAGCTGTGCGTCAGATATTTGAATTACCACTCTACATCTTTTCTTTAAAAATAAATAATCTAGTGTTTTATATTGCACATGAAATAAGAGCACGTTGCAGATGTTCACAGAAGTGATTGGATTTCCTGAACAAAGTGTAGCTGTCATTGTCATGGTAGCCACTTCCACGACAGCATTAGTTCCACTACAGGCCCTTTTTGTCCTGTACCGAAAAAAGGGCGAAAAAATGGGAGACTGCTAAAATCTCCCTGATCCCCTTTTCCATGAGCTCTGTAATCCTGTGCAGACTGTCAGCACAAACAGAGCTTTGATACCAGGGGATGCATGCTTGTGGTACCTTACTTTGCAGCATTTATGTTTTCAAATGTAGAAAAGCAGACAGAGAAACAAAGTAATGTGATTATTTTGTGGGAAATTCAAGATTTGTAAGAATGTCTGTGTGTGCCAAATTGCTGATTTAGTCATCTAATAGCCCATAGTATGAAACTTGAAATTTTATGCATGTAAAAAAAA